GCAGCCCAGCTGGAAAGACCAGAAAGAGTCATTAAAGCTGAAGATTTGTAGGAAAGAGATGTACGGAAGAGGCAGTCACAATGTGAGAAGGATGCCCCGGCTCAAGTCAGCACAGGGGAACACAGTTAGAAATTACTGAGTGCTGTGCAAAGGTAAGGTGGTATTTTCATTATCCAGATGATGGATACACAATGCTGAAGACTGAAGAAGACTGAAGTTCCTAACTTGAGTGATCAGAATGACTGTTTTCCCTTCTCAGATTTGCTGTCCAGTTAACTTATTCTCCCCCATCCACCATGCATCAGAACAAGCCAAGGGAGACATGTGCGGACGGGAGCAATGTACCCGGGCAATAATCCAGATAATTCAGGCAAAAGAATTCTTTTGTTTGATAGATCAGATACTGCAGCAAAAGTGGCCTGCAGGGAAGGGGCTTAAAGTGGAGCGTGTTCTTCACTTCAGATGCTTCAAATAGGACATCTGTGATTGTTACGGCTGAGGTGGGGCAACTCCCAGGCCTCTGGCTGGCACCCTTGTCCTCACTCCCTCGTGTGGCTGGCTCTGTGTGTCTCCTTCTGAATTTCTTTTTCTCAGGATGTCTCTGTCTGGCCCTCTTTCCCATCTCTGAATGTCTCTGTCCTCTGAACTGCTTTCAAATTGAGTTTCCCTTTGACTCCATTTCTTATCTCCCTTTTCCACTCTGTACTTGTTTGTCTCTGTCTGACTTTGTCACCTTCCCTCTCTGGCTTCTGGTCTGCAGTGTCTCTTTCTTTTTCTTTTCTCCTGTTCTTTCTTCTTAGGAGTTCATTCTCTCTCTCTCCCCCCCCCTCCATCTCTATCTCTGTCTCTGTCTCTCTCATTTCTCCCCACCTGTTTCCTTTCCTGCCTGCCTATCTGTCTGTGTGTCTCTGTCTCTCCCCTCTCCTCTCCTTTCTGTCATCATTGTCTGTCAACCATCCTATCCACCCCGGAAAGCTGCTGCCCTGCCGACTTAAAACAGTCGTTTTGACTGTTCCTCAATGACTAATTTTCTTTCCTGTGGTTAGAAAGTAGCTCAGGCCTTAACCCATTTCCTCCAGCAGATCCAAATTAATTAGCTGAGACCAGGGTTGTGCATTTCAGAATTAGAATAATATTTACTGAGCACCCTGGAGAACAAGGGATGGAAGATGGCAAAGAACCAGAACAAAGAGGGAGGTCACTGAGCTAAGGGGATGGGAGGGGTAGCTGGCAGAGCACCTGCTCCTAAGGCCATGTGGTCTGGGATGAGGGTTTCTAGTAGCCAGAGGACACTGGGAAGGGTTGGATCTGGGGGAAGGGTTCAGGAGCAGGTGTGGGACCAGGAGCATTTCCATGGTTATCATGCTTCTCAAAGGGACAACACATGGTAGGGCTTTAGAAACAGTTTTCAGTACTGTCCTCCTGCTTGTGTCTGCTGCCCAGCACAGGGCAGACTACTGGGTATCCAAAGCCCCCTCTCCCAAGTTATTTCCTTTCACTCTATGGCACAGAGACAGGAGGAAGCAGTCTTACTGTAACCCAGAGATATTACTTGTTGTCCAGCAGCAAGCACTAAACCTGCTGGCCTTCAGGAAGGCAGCCCTGCCTTGAGGATGAAGCCTCTACTTCCTTGGCTGCTGAGTAGGTGTCAGTGAAGGTTTGTGAGCCTTACTGCTATTGGTATTTTGGCCTTGATAATACTTTGCCACCAGGAGCATCTTGTGCATTGTAGGAAGTTGAATAACATCCCCAGCCTCTACCAACCAGCTGCCAGTACCACCTCTCTCTGTAATTGTGGCAACCAAAAATGTCTCCAGATACTGCCAAATATTCCAGGAGGGGACAAAAAAATCATCCAGTTGAGAATTGCTGATTAGACTCTGTCTTGGCTAATCAAAGGGAATGGATTGAATCACCTGATGCCATTCTCCTTCATAGGCATCGGAGAAGTAGGAGTCTTTATAAGAACTTGGAAGGCAAGAGGCAGGCTAGAAACTTTTCAGCAGTAACAACTGAGATGTAACTATCTACAAGCACTAGTCTTTCCTCATTCAGCCTTGTCCTAACCCTGGGGTAACCACAAGTCTGCTATTTCTATCTCTGTAGATTTAATGAACTGGACATTTAATGTAAATGTAGTCTTTTGTGACTGGCTTCTTTTGCTTAATGTGGCACTTTCAAGATTCTTCCCTGGGATAGCATATGTCATTATTTCTTCCCTTTTTTATGACTGAATAATTCTGTTGTGTGGCTACATCCACATTTTGTTTATGTATCCAACTGATGAATGTCTGGCTTGTTTCCACTCGTTGGCCCTCACTAATACTGCTGCCATGAACCTTCATATAAAGTTTTATGTAGTTGTATTTTCATTTTTCTTGTGAGTACTTGGGAGTAGAATTGCTGGGCCACATATTCATTCTGGGTTTAACATTTTGAGGAATTGTTAAACTGTTTTCCAAAGGGGCTGCACTATTTTAAATTCCCTCTAGCAGAGTTTGAAGACTCCTGTTTCTCTAAATTGTCAACACTTGCTGTTATCTGCCTTTTTATTTGTAGCTATGCTAGTGTGTATGAATAGGTATGGCATTCAGTGTGGTTTCGATTTGTATTTCCCTAGTGCTTAACCATACTGAACTACTACTTTTCATGGATATTTTCTTTAGAGAGATGCCTCTTTAAGTCCTTTGCCCTTTCTAAAATTGAGATATTCACTTCTTCAAAATTCTTGAGTTGTAAGGTTTCTTTATATTTGGGATACAAGTCTTATCAGACCTGTGTTTTGCAAATATTTTCTCCTGTTCTGTGAATAGGCTTTCATTTTATTGATGATATCCTCTGATGCACAAATGTTTTTCATCTATTTTTCTTTTGTTTCTTGTGCTTTTGATGTTCTAAGAAACCATTGTTAAGTATGAGAAGTCACAGCGATTTACTCCCATATTTTCATGTACGAGTTTATAGCTTCGGCACTAATATTTAGGTATATGACCCATCTTAAATTGATTTTTGTGTATAATATGAGATAAGAGCATAACTTTATTCTTTTATGTTTGGAAAACTATTAGTTCCAGGATGATTTTTTGAAAAGAAAAGTGTCTTTTTCCAATGAATAATCTTGGCACTATTATGAAACACGAATTGACCAGAGATGTATGAGTTTATTTTGGGACTTTCAATTCTATTCCGTTGGCCTATATGTCTATTATAACTTATAGCTCACTATTTTCTTATCACAGAAAAATGGTCGGGAAGAGTCTTTGATCATCAGAAGTATAAAAGAGTCTAGGGTTCTTGCATGAGTGTGAAGTTAAAAAGATACACAAAGTAAAGTTACCAAACACTAGAATCAGAAGGGGTCTCAGAAGATTTGTTAGTTTAACCCTTTGTCTTCCCAGTGGGGAAGAAGTGATTCCATTTCAACTTTAGAGGTTAATGTATCTGCCCAAAGGTTCATGGCTAATCACTGCAGAGCTGAGATTTAAACCTAAAACTCTTGACTTTCTAGGCCAATGCTTTTTCATTATTCTTAGGACTCATTTGACTGATGTATGGCCCCAGACTGACGCCTTCCCTATCTCTTTTTCCTGAACGGTTCTGTGTTCTGCCTGACTGGTAGGTCCATGGAAGTGAGTGGGGGTGGTGATATGTGTCTCTTTTTTCCTTGACAGGCTGAGAGAAAAGAAATCCAGTGAAGGGAAAGCATTTGAAAATCTGAAATTGCTATATAAATGCCACTAAATGATAAGATTGCCAACTTGATGCTCTTCTGAGAAGGTTCAGCGTGTCACAAGAAGCATAATGGGAGGAAACCAGTCACTTTCAGACACTGCTGTGGTTGTCACTTTCCAGAGGGATAGAGTACTAGAGCTGGTCTAGGATGTGAAGGAAGCCATGGGCTGGGCTGGGCATGATCTCGGCTGGGCAGGGCTGGCTCAGAGAGGCCTGGAGTCATGCTGCCTCACCTACCCCACCCCTCAGGGACACCCAAAGCACATGGAAGAGTCTTTATCCTGCTGGTTTAAAACAGGTGTAGCGGGACCCAGGGACATTATCTAAATGTAGTCTTTGTGGCTTGTCCACACTCATCCACGCTCTGGTTGTCTCTGTTCCACGACCAGTGGCGATCTCCTATGTCGTCCACTAAGGGAGTTCTGTTTGAAACTAAGTGGGGGAGCAATTACTCCTAAATTGTGGGTTCCTAGAGGGCAGGAACGGGGTCCTATTTACCTCTGTTCCTGCAGGGACCATTGTGTGCCAAGTCTTCAAGAAATATGTTTGGTTGTTGAAGGTAGGGGTTGAATAAATGAAACCTGCTTTCTCTGGGTCACTGAGTGTCTGGAGTGGGGTTCGTCTCTCTACTTAGGCAGAGCCTCTGTGTGTCTTTCTTTTTCCCTGTGGATATTTTTCCTCTGTAACTGCTGCCACTTCTAAACTCCATTTGCCTTCACTGTCTGCACCATCCATGTGTTCTGATATTTATCTTTTTATCTGAACATCCTGCCTTGGCAGCTATATCACACCTTTCTTTGACAGTAGGAATGGTGTGTTGTACTTATTTGAGCCACCGCTACCTAGCACATCCTGGTCCATGTCTGCAGGAGAGGCCGGTTCCCCTGATAGCTAGTATCCTGCTGCTGCGTGTGAGGCTGGTGGTGCCAGCCCTTTTCCAGGGTGGTGTTCCACTGCACATTCTCTGGCGATTCTGGATGGTGTTGGTGAATATTTGGGGAGCCAGTATTTTAAAGGAGCTCAGAGTTTGCTGATATGGAATAAATTTCAGGACAATTATAATCACAGCTTTTTAGCATCTGTGCCCTCAGGCCCAGTAACCTACCCACTGAGCCCAGCACCAGATAAGGCTGTGGCTGTTGAATACTGAATGCCATGACTCTGTCTCTTTTCCTAGGTGCAGAACTCAAAGGACCTACAAAAGTGAGCCACTTCCCTCTGAGGTTGTGTGTATGAGAGTCTCACTGTGTGATCTCTTCCTCCTCTAGGGCTCTGGCTGACATCTTAAGACAACAGGGACCAATCCCCATAGCACACTGTGAAAGAGAAACTATCTCGGCTATTGATACCTCTCCCAAAGATAACACGCCGGTCAGATCATCCTCCAAAAACCACTACACCCCTGTGCGCACAGCCAAGCAGACTCCAGGTAAGTGTACGCCGATCGCCTTGAACCTTTGCTGAGACTGTTGAAAGGATTCAGTGATTTTCTTCTCTGGTGGGCCAGATTGCAGAGTTCTGCGTAAGGAGGAGCGTCCTGGTGGACTGGGGCCTTTTCCTGGGAAGGTTGTGGTGTGAGAGGAACCACTGCTGGTCTGTGTCTGGGCTGGATGAGGGCTGCTTATGCTTTGGGGCACCTGTGATTTATTGAGTGACTGATTTAACTCTGTTTTCTGAGAGGTAGTATGCAGCAGCCATGTGGAATGAATATAGCCGTCCACTCACCTGTGTGTGGGAAAGCTTGTGCTGACTGTAACGGTGGATGTGCAACAAAAAAATCTTGCACTCAGTTATAGAGCCTGCTCAACTCTTGGAATCTCAGAATACTTCCTGAAGCTGGAAATGTTGTCTGTATTTTAGGACCACCCTTTTCTGTGGGCTAGAAATTTCCTGGATACATGATGAGTTGCCATATAATAATGATGATATACAATTGAGCCTGGTATGTGTGAGGGAACTGGTTCCAGAACTCCTGACGATACCAAATGTGCAGATGCTCAAGTCATTTTTATGAAGTGGCATAGTGTTGGCATATAACTTGTACACATTCTTCTGTGTGCTTTAAATCATCTTTAGGTTACCTGTAATATCTAACACAATGTAAATACTCTGTAAGTAGTTGTTATGCTGTATCGTTTAAGGAATAATGTCTGTACTGATTGAGTACAGATGCAATTTGTTTTGAATATTTTTGAAATCTGTTGGATTGAATCCTGCGGTTGGTTGAATCCTGCAGTTGGATGCAGAACCTGTGGAATATGAAGGGCTGACTGTATCGCCTACATTTTTTACTTGGTTATCACTATAACGCTGCGAAAGAAATTGAGTTAGACTTATTTTTCTTATCTTGTGGATCAATAAGTAAAGCTCCAGGATGTTTAGTAACTTGGGCAAGGTCATAATGGTGTTAATAATAAGAAAAGCATCAGTAACAGCAGCAATATAACGTGCATATTTAACAGACTTACTCTTTGCCAAACATCATGCTGAGCACTTTATTTACAACAATCTTAAAAGTACTTCCATTATGAACACTTCATGGTGTTAAAAAAAGTCGAGTAACTTTCTCATGGTCACATGATTAGTAAGAGAGAAAACTAATATTTAAATCAAGCAAATAGTTAACAGCAATCAGGATTGGAAAACCATAATATCCTTACCCAGTGGGGAACATGAAATCGAAATATCTGAGCAGACATTGTCTTTATCGTGATAAGTCATATCTCAGTGCAAGCCTCACCAGAAAACCGGTACTGAACCCACTTTCCAGGTTTCTGTTGTACTTTGTTATTTATCTCTTGGGGGCTCACATCCAGTACTCTGCAGTTTTTCAAATAATGAGCTGTAGGGTTAAACTAAACTTACAATAAAGATGTGCAATCACTAAGTGGCATAGGAGTGCCCATATCCAATACTAGCAGAGGTGCTACCAAGATCAAATTTATTTTCTTTTAAATATTTCATTATTTAACTTGCTTAAATATGTGAAGTCACATTTGTCTTTAATATAATTTTAAATCCTTTGAACACTTACAAAAGCTAACGACATTCTCGCTTGAAGATCTGTATGTATATACAGAAATGAATGTGTATATTCATCCAGCAGTTTGCATAGGATTTAAGGAGAGTCACAGACCCTCCTTCCCAAGCTAGACATCCCCAGTTTAAAGGTAAAATGAGGGCTCTACCTTTGCAGAGTCTAAGGTACATTTTCATCTGTAACATACTGGATCTTTAAATGGAAGCAACGGGCAGAATAGTGGTAAAAACATCTGGAGCAGTGGTCGTCTGCCTGGCTGCAGGGGAGTTCTTAAAAATGCTGATGCCCAAGCTCCACAGATTAACTAGGTTTCTAGGAATGGGGATGAATATCACTCATTTTTTTAAAAAAATCTCCACCAATTGATTCTAACATGCAGCCAGAGTGAAGAATCAATGGCCCAGATGGATTCCTTCATGCATGAGTGCCGACTTGGAATGCCGATGATTCCCCAACTGGACTGCACATTAGAATCATTGAGGAGCTTTAAAAATTAAGGATGCCTGAGACTGTTACCTAGAGATCATGATTTAATTGATGGGAGAGTGATCTGAGAAGGAAGGAAGATGTTTAAGACTTTCCGTAAGAGAAAGTGTGAGAATTACTGGGCTCTGAAATGACGTAAGGACACCATTCTAACTAATCTTCATAACCATCGATCATTGTGTAGGCTCACCTTGACATCCTTGCCAGTTTTGAATAGGGGTTTTTTTATTTTCCCAAAGATTCACCATTTGAAGTCAGTCTCCTCTAGAGCTTGGCCCGTGACTCTGGGAGTTGGGTCACTCTGACCTCAAAAGCACCCCTGATTGTTTATTTTCACTTCTGTGTTCAGCTTTTCTGCCTCATTCACAACTGAGCTAGTTCCCAGCTACTGAATCCAGCCTGAATAAATGGACAGTTATGATTTGCTCGTAGGTACCCATCTCTGGGCAGTAAGTTTTGTCATTTCTTGTAGTTTCCATACACATCCTGTCTTGTACTGAGCTGAGAATGGAGGTTTTACAGTTAACATGATTCACTTCCTATGTTTCAAGAGTTCCCTCCCTGTGTTTGTCAAATTGTAGCTCTTCATATTGCTTTTAGAGATGAAAATGGTTTCTGTGGCCCAGAAAACATTCCCAGTCATGAAACCAAAATGTAAAAGCAGTTTCACAACATGCTATATCTTCTGTAGCTCATAACAAACATAGTGCTTTTCCAAATAGCGAATTTTTTTGCCACAAAATATTGCAATTTGAGCAGAAATTTACAGAACTTTGGGTAGATGTTCAAAGTGGAAATTTACTTTGATTTTTTGCCACTCACCAAATCAACCAGCCACCAATTGTAGTAAAGCAGTAGGAGGACTCAGGGGGGATATTAAGAGAGAGATCCAGAAATACCAGGATCCACTATAACATATGGGTAGCTTGGCTGTTTGAAGTGCTGTCATTGGACCTGCTGCAGTGCTGTTATGTGGGATTTGTGAGGCATGCAGAATCTCAGGTTCACCTCACCTGCTGAATAAGAACCTGCACCTTAGGGAAATCACTTACAATTAGAATTAGAGAACCACGGGAAAATCATCGGCTCAGTTTTGGTCTTGGCACCCTCATGTATGTATATATGATCCCTGCTACTGAGATTATTACCTCCAAATGCTTAGAGTTGTGTTAAGAATATAATGAGTTAAACCAAGCAGAGCATTTAAATAGGTCCCCATTCATAGCAAACATTGTTAACCAAGACCAGGCTATGCAAGTATATCTATAGCTTTTGGAAAATGAGTTGAATGAATGAGAGCCCTAAGTAATGCATTGGTATCCTTAGACTAAGAGCATCCATGAAGTTGTGTCTGAAATGGGTCAGGGTTTGGAAACAAATGCACTTGTTTGGTCTGGGAACTGTAGTGAGGGCCCCACAGTAATAATAAAAATGATGGCAATCATGTACCAAAAGTGCCACTTATTGAGTGCTTACTATATAGTGGATACTCAGCTAGATTTCCAGAACAGGAAACATAGTATTTGTTAGATATGGGAATTCCTGATTTCACATTGACAGAACAGTCTGTCACTTCATGTAAGAGTCTTTCACCTTAACTGGCACAGTAAGCCCCTTCCAAAAAATTTTTTTTTCCAGTATGGAGGAATGAACCCCAGCCTACTTTCCCCCCACCCTGTTTTGAAATAGAGCCTCACTAAGGTTGCCCAGGCTGGGCTTAAATTTGAAGCTTTCTGGCCTCTGCCTCTTAGAGTACTGGGATTACAGGTGTGCACCACCATGCCCAGCTACCCCTTCCCAACTTTAAAGGGAACTCCACAGTGGACTTTTACTAGCTTATAGAAAACTAGTGAAGCCTATGTCTGTCAGCCAGTCCTCAAATCTGGCTGCCTAGAGACCTTGCTACTCAAGCTGTGGTCCGTGGAACAGCAGCAACTATCTCACGGGAGCTAGTTGAAAATGCAAAATCTTGGGTTCTTTCCCAGACCTACTGAATCAGAAACTGCACTTAAACAAGAATTTGAGGTGATTTATACACATGTTGAAGCTAAAACAGAGCCTTCTATCATGGTGATTCTCAGTCCTGGCTGCACACTGCAGTTGGTTAGGGAATTCTGAAAATACTACTGCCTGGCATCTACCACAAAGACTGATTTAATTAGTCTGGAGTAGAACTTGATCAATAATAGTAATATTTTTGCAAATTTCCTATACTGTTCTTATGTTCAGCAAACTCTGAGCACTGGCTTTGTAGGGTGACTGTAAGTGCGGAAGATATCCTTTAAAGATTGTGGAGGTTCGGTTGAGCAAGGTGGAGACTGCCTGGTCAGAGTCAGGGGGCTGTAGACAGAAGTCCTCTCACTGAAGATGGGGCAAAGGGAAGCACTCAGGCTTCTATGAGAGATAGAGGAGTCAGTGTGCAGATATGAATGGCGATAGAGGGAGAAGGAGACACAAGTAAAAATGTCAGAGCTGATGGGAAAACTACCAGAAAACAGAGTCATTAGAAGCTGCACAATGTCTAGTGTTGCAGGTCCCCTGATCTCAGGATCCAGAGGCTTGGTGTGGGCTTAGTTCTCATAGATGGAGAAGAAGGGAGACCTAGCATGCTTGCCTTGTCTGTGCTTCTCTCAAAGATCCTGTCTTGGATGTCTGGATGCCATCCCTAGCAGTAGTAGTGAGATCCTAAGTTTAAATTCTGTTTAAATCTTGATAGATACCTTTAAGTTCTGCAACCTTGATAGCCACTTATGCTCCATCTAAACATCACTGTGCATTGTATAAATGAGTAATCAGCCATCCTGCTTGTAGTCAAAGCCATAGCCTGGAGTGGCAGACTCAAGGAACCAGGGGCAGGAACCCTGTAAGCTTCATAGAGAGACGAATAACGACTTTGCAGTGAA